ATTTATATGATATATATATTTTTTTTCTCTCATTGACTTTTCTTTTTTATTTGTCTTTTCACTTCTTTTTTTTATTTACCTCTTCACTTTCTTTTATTTAATCTTTACTTTCATTCTTTTCATCTGCCATTCATTTTCACTGGCATTTTTCTTTAAATTTTTTTTTTTTTTTTTACAAATCCATTTTCTAATAGAAATTTCTGCTTTCATGATAGGAAAATCTAATTCTTGTAGGTGATTTATTATTATTTTTATATTTTTTTTTTTTTGTGAAAGAAATCTTTGTTTCTATTTTTACTTATTTTCCATTATAGCTCCTAACCTTATCTTAGCCAGTTTTATTTTAACTATTTTTTTTCATGTTTTTGTCTGTGAATATATTTTTGTTCTGTTTTTTTTTTTTCTAATCCTTTCCACTGACTTCTACTTTCCACATATCTGTAGTCAAAATTATCTTTAAATTCACTTAGAGATAAGTTCTATCTTTTGCCTGATGATAAAACTATAAACAACTGAATTCTTTTTTTTTTTTTTTTTTTTTTTTACATGGAATTTTTCTTTTATTTCCCATCATGCACAAGAGGATATTGTATTTTTTTTTATAAATTCTTCCTTTTGCTCTCTTCCTGCCAGTGTTGTCTGTTTCTGTGAAAGTTCTGTTCATTTCTCTTGACACATTTTACCTTCTGCTTCAATTTTTTTTTTTTAATAACTCCCTTGACAGCCAATAATGTTACGCTTTTTTATTCTGTACAATATTATTGATTTCACAGTTGTAAATCTTCTTGATATATAGTCAGAAATTATATTTCTGACTGTTGGTGAATGGATCTGTATTGGAATGATGAATGTGTATTTGTTACTCTTAGTAAAAAAAATGCAAAAAAAAACAAAAAAAAAACAGCAAATCATAGTAGGATCTTTGTTAAGGCAATAGTATTGAAATATTCTAAGTTAAAGAAAGCAATTTCCAATTCAATTTGCAATTTATTAGTGTATAGTCTGTGTTTATAGTCACCCTTATAATTATCACTCATTTGTATGCATGCTCATTACACAATTTTGAAAACAAAATGATATCAACATTGAAGCAGAAAAACAAATGAAAAGATTAATAATTATTGCATAAAATATATATATTTAAAATAAAAAAACAAAACAAAACATTTACCTTGTTTCAATTTGTAGGGTTTGTCTTGATGATACAATATATCAACCATTATTTTGTCAGCCCTAAAAGTTAAGTTGGTGGGTCATAAAAGCCCTTTGTGACTGAATTTCTGGGGGTGAGAAGTGATCATTATTTACATTTGGAGCATTGTCCTCATCTTTGTTATCATCATCATCATTGTATTTCAGCTGTTGTGTCCTCCAACCTTCTCGTTCTGGGTATGACGATAAACTACATCTGGCAGTAAGGCCTCTGATCTCTAGATTGGCGGTTTTGAGGAGTGTGTAACCAACTTTTAACTGCAGTGATTCCCAGGTCCACCCTGACCTGGGGTGGTATCACCTGTTAGGGTCCCAGATATGAGCAAATACTTAACCCCCCAAACAAAAACCAACAATACATTCTTATAGCAAAATCAGTACATAACTAAAATATTTTTGTTGTGAAATTACCAGTATATTTAAAAAAAATGCTTGCAATACATTTTATGATCTACAAACTGTATATCAAAAAAAAATATAAATTTACCCTGAAAGTATAAAATTATGTTGTGAAATTACCAGTATTATATTAAAAAATGCTGCTCACAATACATTTTATCATCTACAAACTATATATCTAAAAAATATACATTTACCCTGAAAGTATAAAATTATGTACAAAATATTTGTCTTTGAAAGCATAAAATTGCATACTAAATATTTAGTTTTCGGCATTAAATAACTCATAGAGGTGTTGATATGCCACTGAACAAAATCAAACAATTACCTCTGGACTTTTTTAGGTGCTTGTAGATCTGAATATAAATGTGAGTAATGAAAGCACTTAATTATGCAAGAAAACTAAGTCCTATGATTTAAAACAAAAAAAAAAAAATGAGCAAAATTGTAAGGATATTTGCCAACTGCCCCATGTGGTCAGTTGTAGCACAAGGCCGAATTTAATATGGGGTATCCAAGCCACGTCTGGGTTCCTCTCCGCCCGAAGACAGAGAGTTCGACCAGCTTAGCTGGAGATGAATCTCTAACTAATTGCCAAAGCAAAATTGTAAATTTAAAAACTGTAAACTATTCTGGCACTTATAGTAAACATGTCTGATATGATTTGCTGCTATTTTAATATTGAGTATTATGATTATAAGATATAATTGTAAGGCTCAATTGTGCCTTGAATGTATATTGCTCTTTAAACTAGACAAACTTTGAAAACCAGCAGCACAAATTTGGCAGACATGAGATACATTTTATTGTCAAGAGGTTTATTTTTGTGAATGTTTCTGTCTTTTCAGCCTAACAGCTGACTTGAAAATTTTTCCACAAATGTGGCATGACTTGCCAAGATTTAATGCTATTTTGTAGTTCATTGGTACTTTGGTATGATGGCTTTGTAAATGACTCAATTCTTCTGTTTTACTCAAGCAAAACATCTCAGGTGAGGTTGTGCCTATCACCTATATTATTCCGAAACTCCACATCATGAACTTTTCAGACACTTTTTTTCAACTGCCCCCACTTCAGTTTTTTGTTTGTTATCTAAGAACTCTGGAAATCAACCATTCCATCATGAACCTTCTTTGATCAGATGTTAGTATTATTTGCCTGGAACTCCCAATCATATGAACTGATATTTGCAAGGTCCAGTGATTCTTTCAGAAATGTCCTTAGAATGATTCATGTGATTTTTTTTTTTTTTTTTTTGTTGTAAGGATGGCCTGAATGAATCACTGAACATTTCAAGCATCAGAGTGCAGTGTGTGTATATATATATATATATATATATATATATATATATATATATATATATATATATATATATTATGAAATGGACAAAGTCCGACAATTATTTTAAGACATTTTTTATGTTTATACATTCTTTTTATAGATACAAATATTTTTGTTGGAGGATGAATATTTTCTATGAAAATTTCTTGGGCATTCAGGCTGGTAAATGTTGTTTAATACTTTCTATTAAATAACAGAGCATTTACTTAAATATTTGTATCTATAAAAAGAATGCATAAACATAAAGTCTTAAAATATATAATTATTTGCTCTACTTTTGTATCGAGCACTATTTTTAAAAAATAATAACTAAATTACTAAGGGACTTAGGATCATTTACCTAACCAGTTCCTTCCTATTTTCTATATATTTTCACACACACACACACATATATATATATATATATATATATATATATATATATATATATACATCCTTGACACATATAAGGTAATGGATTTTTATTTATCAATCTGACAGATTTTTATCACTTTAAATGTTAATTTTAGTGGATACTCCTATTTCAGTAGACACTCCATTTACTTATTAAACAATATATTTATTTATTTTTGCTTACTGGCCTGAATATTCAGATCTTATTAAAGAAAAATATGCGCTCTCCAGCAGGATCCAAACTTGACATGTCTTAACTGACTTGACCACAAAGCAGCCTTGCTGATCAAGCAATGTCTGAAACATGCCTTTAAGCAGAATCGTTCTTGTATTAAATTCCTCTAAATTTTCATATTTGTTCAGATTTGTATCCAAACATAACCAAAGTAATTTACTTAGGTAAGGGATTTTTATTTATCAGTCAGACAGATTTTTATCACTTTAAATGTTATTTTTAATGATGGTTTAAACGTCAGTACCACTGGGAAATGTTGACCCAAGCCTTATAATTGAAACTGGGTAGATGAAACTGTTTGAAAACAGTCAATGTTTGTGGCAGCTTAAAATCAAATGTTATTTTGACCAAGAGTTTGAGAATACCGGTGTTGTTGAAACTGCTGATTGTGACAGTTTATGCACTCCAGAAGCTAAGGTTTGCTCAGCATAGCTGTTGTATAAAACAGAGATTGGCTCTGTGGGTGTTGAACAAACATAAATGTACCTGAGCAGGTGTCCACAAAAGGTATTAGCTAGCCACTGTAGCAGATGGTGTACTCTGAAACAAGTAGCCATTATTATTATGATTAAAATAAATTTTTTTATTTTTTGTAAAATGTCATTTCATATTATTAATCTTTTATGTTCTTTTTTTTTTCTCTCATAAATATTACCATGTTTTTAAGAATTTTTTTTTTTAATTTGTAAAAATGTCTGCTTAAAAAATAATTTAAAACTAAGCTGTTCTTTGGAGATTAATAAACATGCAAGTAAATCTTACTTTAAATTTTAAATGTAGTTGGAGTATTATCAATAACAGAGTAGTTCCCCTTATTTATTTTGCAAATATGGTAATCATTATCTGTTTCCTTATAAGGAAACATTTAGTGTTCATTTACTAAACAGTTATTTACTTTCAGTTGAAATTTCTAAAATCATTCTCTTAAAATAGTCTTTCAACAAAATAAATATTTTTAGGGTTCACTGTTATCACTAATTCTAGTACCGATGTGAGTTCTGTTCCTAACCTTTGACAAAATGACAGTTTCATAAAATTTATACTGAAATGTTTCATTAATTCCTCTTACTAACTCATCAACTGGCAGAAAATTTCAAGATGTATAATCTTCATACTAATTAGGTTTCACTTGTCTTCAAACTGGTTGTGTTTAATTCACTTTGTCCCATTGATTACCATTTTTCTCAAGAAAAACAGTATTTTTTTATATTTTATACTTGTATGCATTTTGAAGAAGACAGACATACTGTTGAAACATTGTTAAATTTTGTGTCTTTTCTATGTCTTAAATTGTACTCCTCTAAGTGTTACAAAATACTGGAAGAGTTACTTCAATTATTTTTTTGCTTAATAATAACAATAATAATCATTGGATGAAAGATTAATTATTTTTTCCATCTGTTTATCTGCTTCTTTACAGCCCTGAGACTCTTCTTTGCATCCAACAAATCCTTTTAGCCCCTGGAGCTGTGACCTCTCCATTAAATATCCATTATTTGAACCGCACCAAACAGATTCTAGCTACCTTCACTGATGGAACTGTCATAGTTTGCCAATCAGAACAGAGTGTTCCAGATGTCACTGGAACGGAAAAGGATCAGTACAAGGTGTTCACGCTTCCTGTGCCCATGAACAATACCTTCTGCTCTATTGTGGTTGAAACCAGGAACAGGTTAGTATCTAATAAAAATATATATATATATATATATATATATATATATATATATATAATATATATGAATTATTCACAAAAAAAACAAATGCAAAGGTTAATGATTGAATTGGCGAGAAATCCATAAATGCAAACAATTCAAATAATATACAAAAACCTCCGAACCTGTTATGAATGAAAAGATCCTTGTTTCTATAAATTTCTGCCGCATTAGTTCTTATATATATATTTATTTTATTTTATTTTATTTATTTTTTTTTTTTTTTGTGGAGTGGGAGGCACTGGAAGGAGAAAAACAATTTTTTTTTCCTCTCTAATGTGGCTTGTCATCCATTGAGTATAAAAAGTCCTTCTATTGAACCAACTATCAAGGAAGAATCATTTATATATTTCTAAATATTCTCTGTTTGACAGACAAACATGGTAATTTATTAATGAGAGTGTAAGTGAAATTTAATATTCATTTTGTTCAGCCAGTCCTAGTATAGGGCCATTTTTAGTAGTTCATATGGTGATAAGAAACTAATGTTCCTGGAAACTATGGTAGTAATAACTTCTATGAACCATGACCCTTCACATTTTCCAAACATTTGTTGCTATTTTATGACCCTTTTTGTCTCAGTGGTAATTGTTATGCCATCCATCTATACAGTTTGGATTTAAATTGACTGGGCCACTCATAAGAAATTAGGGAAAAATTTTTGTTGACTAATTTTGGTATATTAGAATTCATTAGACCTTGTATGCATTGTTTAAACTAAGTCAAACCTACTGTCCTTTCTATGTCTTAAATTGCACACCTAAGTGTTACAAAATGTTGGAAGAGTTACATCAATCATTTTTTGTTTAATAATCATTGGATAAAAGGTTATTTTTTTTTCATCTGTTTTTCTGTTTCTTTGCAGCCTTGAGATTTCTTTGCCTCCAAAAATCAATATTTTTCACTTCCAACATGTGGCATAGTAAGTTATGCCATATGTTGGAAGTGAAAAATATTGATTTTTTTTTTTTTTTTTTTTTTTTTTTAAATCATTTTAGGAGTGGTCCTGTTCATAATATAAATACAGTGACAAATTGATTTCTTAGAGTTATCTGTACTTTGATTTTATTTACAGATGTCAAGTTTGAAAATGTGTATATCATAGATAATTACATATTATTACAAATTGGGGAGAAAAGGCATCACTAATATTTAGTTATGAATCACACAGTTTCAGTTTTGATATTTGTTGATTAATTGATTGATTTGTTGTTTTTTTTTACTGCTTATCAACCCTCTGTAGTGTAGTTTGTGTTCACTTGTTAGAGAACCAATTTTGCTGTCTTTCTCATCAGTTCTTTGATGTTTGTTTTGGCAACAATAAATCTCTTCTTTCTTCTTTTTCTCTATCTCTTGTGCTCTTACCATTCATCTACTGCACCCCCCCAAAAAAAACTCACTCAACTATGTGATGATTGTACAATCTAAAACAATTTGCTCTTAACCCATTGGTAATGCAATTTTTATATTCTTTTTGATGGTCAGATATTTGCACGTTACCAGCAAAATCTTGTATTTGCGAGAATATGACATTTTTATATAGTCACCTTATGAGCGGCCATCTTTTTTTTTCCTTCTCTGGATTTCTTTACATTCACTGTACATGCAAAGTATTTGTGTCAGCAGTAAGTCATTTCTTTCCTTTATTTGCTTTTTCCTTCAGTTCTCCAAACACATGTTGGTAAAAAAGGCCTAATGGATGCCAATCTACAAAAATTATTACCTCCAATTTTCTTTACCCCTTTTTTAAGTCTGTCCAGTCAATTTAAGTAGTGCCTTCAAAATTGTCAAGTAGTTTTCTCTTTGTCTTCAATGTATCTTGTGAGTTAAATTCTGTAGTCATGATCATCGTAATTGCTAAAAATTATTTTCTTTCCATGCTGTGTAAATTTTGGTTCTCAGTAGTTTGGAGGAAAGGATGAAGGCAATAAAGTAATTTACTGAAACCAGAATCTTGCCAGCCTTCATGCAAATGTCCTTGACTAAGGAGTACAGGGGAGGGGTTTCACTGAATGGGAAGGAAAGGGAAAGAAAAAAAACAAGTGTTTTTCTACTATAATAAATTTTGATTTTTTTTTTTTTAACCAATGGCTACACAAACTGGTTGAAATCTGAAATACTTGTGTTGACTGCCAAAATTTGTCAAATAAATCAGAGATAGCAGTAGTAGAAGCTACTGCCAGCAGTTTTCACAACAGAATTGTTTCATTGTCATACTGACTATTGTAACAAAATAGTAGTTTCCATGACAGAGAACAAGTACTGTTCTAAAAACAACACTATGTTGAAGACTCTGAACTTAGAAGGCATGAATGGATTTGGTCACAAACTTTGACAACTCATATCAAATCAGAAGAACTATTCAGAACATTCACATTTTGTACTTTGTACTAATTTAATACTATATTAGTACATTAAGTTTCCTTTTATTCCTAATTTTTTTTCATAAAATCAATGCCAATATTCAGTAGTATGTTTACTTTTAAGGATTGACTGCTTAAATATGAATTACTATTCAATTCCAGAAAAGGAAAAAGGAAGACTTGTTTTTAAATTGAAATTAATCACCTGAATTTTAATGAAGATCCTTGATTTGTTGGGAAGCTAATTTTCTTTTATATTTTTTTGTAGTTGATTTTGAAGAGTAATTTTTTATAATGTCAGTCATCTTAGTAATAGCCATTCAAGAACAGGATTGTCTTTAGAATTCTGGACTCTACATTCTATTTCATTATAGCTTAAATATGGAATAACTTGCTTATATAATCCTTGTTATATCTGCAATGAATTGTATAACAAAAACAATGACATTACCATGATGATTGAATTAATTTAAAATGCATTTAGATCTATAACTATCAACAAGTTAATTAAATTAGCATTTAAAATGAAAACCTCTTATCCAAAATATATACATGCTGTGTAATTGTATCTATAACCAAAGAATTGCAATGATTTTTTTTTTACCCAGGTGTTAGACAAAAATATATGATTAAGCTCGCAATCAGGAAATGTAAGGGAGATAACTTTGTTAATATACTGCGAAAAGCTGAAGGCAAAATACTGCTTTCTTTATCCACCAGAAAGCTTCCTTTGAAGAGTAACATTAGTTTTATGAAGTATCTGGATGTGTTTAATACAGAACTTTCCAAACTGATATGTTAAAACATTTTAGCATAATTAATTAATTACCTGTTTTTAAGTTATTAAGTAAATTTTTCATTGAATTGTAAATTTAAGAATTTATCTTTTAAAAGATTGTTGATAATGCAATAAATTTAAAAAGCTCTGGGTAAGTGCTGTTATATACTGTGTATGGTTGCAAGAATCACAAACAAATGATAATGTATTGATGACGAGGCAGAAAGTAAAGGAGACAAGATATGTTAAATTAACATAACTGCATATATAAATGTAGTTACCTCTGCAGATTCACTAAAAAATGAACATACATGAAGAGAAAAGATTAGCATAGGACATTTTAGCATCTTTTTTATGGTGGAATACATTGATTTGGAAATTCTTAGCAAAATCAAATAATTGTTTGATTTTAATGAAAATTTCAGGACTTTTTCACAAAATTATTTTAGAACTGTTGCTTTTTAGAAAATCTTGGTAAAACAAGATCATTTTTTTTAACATCTGTTACCTCCCACCTTAATTTTATGAAATTTTGAGAAATTAATTTTTGTACTGTTTAATGTTTATATTATAAGCAGAACTTGGAGAATTTAATCATTCATTTTTTTTTCTTTAGTAAGACTGGACCCCAAGTTACTGTACATAAAATCTGCTCTAAATCATAAAATAAAAAATGCAATAAAACTAAGACATTATTTATTTAGAAAAAATTTTAATTGCTTTTATAAATAAGATATATTATGGATACTATTGTCTTAAGAAAAACATTTTTCTTTTTTACAAGAATTGTTTTAATTTTTAAAAGATTTTAATTAGAATAATTTATAAAATGTTAAATCTTTTAAAATTCTGTATTAATTTGTACTGGTTAGGTTATGTTATTAAATACAAAGTATATATATATTAATCATAAATGTAAAAGTTTGCGACAATTTAGTGACCACCAGTATTTTAAAAAATTTTTTTTGCATGCATATAAACAAGCCAATTTTTTAAATACTGATGCTCATAAATAACATTATCAGAAAATAAGAGCAGTAACTACTGTAAATTTAAAGCCAGATTACCTGAAATTCAATAAAACATTATCTTATAAAGAATATTTTCCTAATTTTTTAAGACTACTAAGTAGTTAAAAATTATATAAAAGGTGCTCACATTATATTCCTTAAGTAATTTTTACAGATATGTCCCCCATAGACAAAAATAGATAAACTTTAGACTGTCAATCTGCCAATACCTAATGAAAACACTTCTGTGTTAAGAAATGAATTTTTGTGATATTTTAAACTAAAAGCAAGTAATATTTGTTTCAAATCAGATTGATTACACTTTAAATCAGATAATATTCTTCAAATAAAGTTTCAGAAAAAGTATATTTTATTTTTGAAAGACATTTTAATAAAGGGAATTAAATTGATTATGCTGACAGATGGCTAAAAAAAGCTAAAATCATCAATTTTAAAAAACAAAAAAAATACGCCTTCCAATCTATTTAAATTAATTTTGAAATACAGCAAAAGCAAAGTATTTTGCTCATTGGAAAAATTAAATTTAATCTGTTAACTTAAAATTAAATTTAATCTGTTAACTTAAAATTAAATTTAATCTGTTAACTTAAAATTAAATTTAATCTGTTAACTTAAAATTAAATTTAATCTGTTAACTTAAAATTAAATTTAATCTGTTAACTTAAAATTAAAACCAAAATAAAAGCTTCAAGAAAGATCTTTTTTTTTATTTTGAAAAATTCATTTTAAGCCTTTTCTTTTGGAGATATCTATATAAATTAAGGATAGTGACACTTGTGAGTAAAGTA